TCCGCCCCCGACGTCACTCTCTCGGGGGCGCAGGCCCCGTATGCAGGACTATGTTGAGACCGCGCCTGTGCCCTGTGCTGCCGACGACACGATCCGTTCGTGACAAGGCCCCCCCCCAAGATCGGCGGCGAGCCGGGGGGGGAAGGGAGAAGGAGAATGCCTTCTCAGAAGGCTCGACGTCCCCAGGCCCTGTGGGAAGTTTTCGGAGCCTCCCCCGGAGACACAGAGCACTTCTGAGGAGGCTGGGGTGCTTCGAAAAAGTCCCGCCGCCTTCTGAGAAGGCCTTCTCTTTTCCACTTCCCCCCCCCCCTCGCTCGCCGCCGAAACACCTCGGGACCGAAACACTGGGCCGTCGTTGCCGAGCCTCTGCTCTATATATATGCGCCGGCGGCCTGGCCCTGGGCCCTGGTCCAGTTGACCCCATCGGACCCCCGACGTCACGATCTCTTCGTGGCGTGCCCCCCCCCAAATCGGCGGCGAGCGGGGGGGGGGGGGAAGGGAAAAAGAGAAGGCCTTCTCGGAGGGCGGCGGGACTTCTCGGAAGTCCTCGCGCCTTCGGAGAATTCTACCTCTCAGCGGGCCGGAGAAATTCCGAAGCTTCCGAGAAGGCCTTCTCCTTCTCACTTGCCCCCCTCGCTCGCCGCCGACCCAACCCCACCCCAAAGCATGGACCCCTCCCCCCGCCCAGAGGCCAAGACCTGAGGAAAAATCGGGGATGGACAGCACCCCCTTCAGTAAGACGTGTCTGAGTGAAAACGACCTCGGGCCCAAACCCGTCGGGCGCAAGCCTGGAAAATGACGGCCGCGGCGCCCTCTCGAGAACCGAAAACGGACAATTCACGAATCGACGTGTCAGGTGGGGGCTCTGTCCAACCCCGAAACAACACTGGCCCGTCAGCGTCGAGCGTCGGCTCCCTCCGCCGGGGGTCTGGCCTGGGTCCTCACCTGGTCGGCTTCACCGGACCTGTCCCTGGAGGGTACAATGCCGTTTTTTATACATGATCCGCGTGCGGATCATGTAATGAAAATGCAGGGATTCAGTATCTTAAAAAAAAGATGGGTGCATGCATAAATGTACTCATACATAAATCATTATACTATATCCGATATTAAAAAAATCCGACGCCAGAGGCGCCACCGGAGGGCCCCAGCGCAGATCCAAGGATTCCGCGGGGAACTCATTCAGCTTTTCCTGTGTTGACCAGCAGTGTGCGCAGTCTTGTCTTCCAGTTTCGTTCACTCTGCAATTTTTTTCTTTGTTGACCCACGGGTAAACGTTCTCATATTTGGCGTTTCGACACTGGGCGGAGGTGGGGGGAGGGGGAGAGGTCTGGCTCCGGACCTCTGTTTGACGCGACAGTTTGCAACCGTGCGTCCTGTGGGGGAGACTCCAACTGCTCAAAACAGGCGCCCTAACGAGCCAGGATCTACTCCACGGGGGGGGGAGGGCCCGCACCGATCGGCAAAAAGAAATGAATAAGGAAACTATCACCAGCATGCGCAGCCCCAAGCCGACCCCAGGAGGCCCCAAGAGGTCTCCAAGAGACCCCAGGAAGCCCCCTGGAGGGATCCCTAGAGGCCCAACAAAAGGCTCCAAGGGCCCCCAAACGGACCCCAAGAGGCCCCAAGAGGCCACGAACGCGCAAGCAGACGCCTGCGATGGCACAATACGGGGCGGCGGAGTGAGCGAAGCGATTGAATGATAAAACGATCACCAGCACGCGCAGCCCCAAGCCGACAGCGATATCCCTTTGCCGCGCGCTCCTCGCCGCACACGGGCGACGCCCACAGCGACACGGGCGGCGAAAATCCCGCCCACAGCACGGGCAGGAGGCCGTCGGTCTCCGCCCCAGTCGAGTGCCCGTCTCCGCTTCGAGCCTGTGTTCCCCATTTTCGGAGGCTCTCGTCGCCACCGCTGGACTCGACTCGAACTTCTGGTCAGAACGCACCACAGGAGAGGTCTGGGGAGTAGCGGTGCCGGTGCCTGGTGGTTTCCGCGGGACATGTCCAGGGATGCGCCCTGGCAGGCCCGAGCTGGATCAAATCGCAAAAAATCAGGTCGGATCGGACACGGATCGGATCGCCATCGAATCGTCCCGAATCGGGCCGAGATCGAATATTTTCATCTTCTTCCTCCTCCTCCTTCTCCTCCTCCTCCTCCTCCTCCTCCTCCCTCCCTCCCTCCCTCTCCCTCCCTCCTCCTCCTCCTCCTCCTCCTCCTCCTCCTCCTCCTCCTCTTCCTCCTCCTCCTCCTCCTCCTCCTCCTCCTCCTCCTCCTCCTTTTTCCTCCTCCTCCTCCTCTTCCTCCTCCTCCACCACCAGGTCGTCGTCTTCCTCATCCTCCTCCTCCTCCACCACCAGGTCGTCGTCGTCCTCCTCCTCCTCCTCCTTTTCCTCCTCCTCCTCCTCTTCCCTCCTCCCGCCTCCCTCTTCCCTCCTCCCGCCGTCCTCCTCCTGCTCCTCATTCTCCTCCTCCTCCCTCCCTCCTCCTCCCTCCCTCCTCCCTCCGTCTGCCTCCTCCTCCCCCAGGGATACGCTTTTTGATTGGCGGCTCCAAGGAAGAGTCCAGGAAGCGGGGCGGGCGCGTATGGGGCACAGGCGAAATAATTGGTTACGAAGGCGCCTAGGCCGACGCAACAAGTGCACCTGCAAGAGGCAACATGCCCCACATTAACATGCGAGCGACCCGAACATGGGGACGCAAGCACCAGACTGGAGTGGACGGAGAGAAGTCGCAAAGTGGCGCCAGCTCAAACCGTACATTCCAGAGAGCACAGGCTAGGGCCGATCAGCCAAGTGGCAGGACAGTTGGCACGTGAGGCCGCACCGCTCACCACTACGAGGCGAGAGAGCTGGGAAGGCGCGGGCAGAAGAGGGGTGGCTGGGAGCCTCACTCACTTGGACTCCTGGGCGCGATCCGACGCGAGCCACCAACCAGTGGTGCACTGACGTCGATCCAGTCGCGGGGTCCAAGCCTAGACTGCCTGACCCGGAGTGTCGGGGGAACGGCAGCAGGCGTGGCCGAGCACCATGGACCAACCCGTAGGAGAGCATGAGTACTGTCAAAGGATGAACCACTTGCGCAGTACCAGGAGCACGATGGTGGCTCCCTCCCAGAGGTGGACCACGTCGTCGGCGAACAACGCAGGCAGCTTATCCATCACGGTGGACGGGGGAACCAAGCGGCGTGCGTCAACCGGGGGCCGTGGTGGACCAAAAGGGGGAACGTCGACAGTCGAGCAAAGGGTGTACCACTTGCCGTGCCACACTCACCCCAGGTCCGGCCCCCAGTGGTGCCGGGGCAGGCAGAGGCCCGAGTTGTCAGAACAACACCAGACAAAAGCGTGGCCCGACCTCACCTCGGAGCTCTGCGAGAGAGCCGCCAGGTGGTGCATAGACCCAAGTTCTCCAAGAGCCTCGGGAGGGGGGAAATCGTGTGTGGCCGAATCCGCAGGAGGAGATGGGGGAGGAGGAGACGCAGCCGATAGCCGCAAAATCAGGTGAATGCATGGAGGAGGGGGAGGCGACGCCATAGCAAATACACGGAGACCTTGGCCACTGTGATCACACAGCGCGATGCGGTGGGACCTCAACCCCCAGGGATACGCGATGCCTTGACTCTTTCAACCCGCGGTCCCCCGACAGCCCCCCCCGGAGCCGCTGCTTCCTCCCGAGCTGCTAACTGGAGACGGCCTCAAGGCCCGAGGCGAGGCGAGAGGCTCCCCCCCGGAGAGGCCGGCCGCGGCCAGCGCGAGGGTGGCAGGAGGAGGAGGAGGAGGGGGAGGAGGAGGAGGAGGGAGGAGGAGGAGGAGGAGGAGGAGGAGGAGGGCGGAGGAGGAGGAAGGAGGAGGGCGGAGGAGAGGAAGGAGGAGGAGGAGAGGCGGATGAGGAGGAGGAGGAGGAGGAGGAGAGGAGGAGGAGGAGGAGAGGACGGCGGAAAGGGAGGAGGAAGAAGAAGAGGAGGGCGGAGGAGGAGGGGGAAGGAGGGCGGAGGAGAAGGAGGAGGAGGAGGAGGAGGAGGAGGAGGGAGGAGGGAGGAGAAGGAGGGCGGAGGAGGAGGAGGAGGAGGAGGAGGAGGAGGAGGAGGAAGAGGAGGGAGGAGGAGGAGGAGGAGGAGGACAAGGAGGAGAGGGAGGTGGACCAGCGCGAGGGTGGCAGGGTCCTCGCCGAGAGAGTCAGGAGGCAACTACCGGGAGGCTTTCGTCGGAAGGATCAGGGAAGCTGAAGCCCCATTGTGGGTCTGTCGCGCCGGATTGGGCCTCGGATGAAGCGGGATCAAGCCAGACTCAGCGGAATTACGCTGAATTCAAACGGATTCGGCGGGGTTGAACCGGATTTCGGACCAGGGCAAAGTCAGAACTTGACCTCCCAGGAATTGCATCCGAAAGAGAGGATTCTGACATCCTCGCGCTGCGAGGGTGTCAGGATCCCCTCTATGCGAGAGAGAGAGAGAGAGAAAGAAAGAGAGAGAGAGTCCTCTCTCTAAGAGGGGGATGTCAGGGTCCTCTCTCAAAGAGTAAGAGGAGGCTTGCCATCGCTCGGACGTCCCTTCCCCGTACCCGTTTTGGCTTCGTGCGTGTCTCTTCCAGCAAAAGAACCCGAAAGGCTCCTCGATGGTCCACGCCGAGAGAAAAGGCACCTGTCCGAGCGATGCCAAGGTAGGATGAGGATGAGGATGAGGATGAGGATGAGGATGAGGATGAGGATGAGGATGATGATGATGATGATGCTGATGATGATGATGATGGTGATGATGATGATGATGATGCTGATGCTGATGCTGATGCTGATGCTGATGATGCTGATGATGCTGATGATGATGATGATGATGATGATGATGATGATGATGAGGAGGATGAGAACGCTGATCATGATGAGGATGAAGATGAGGATGAGGAGGAGGAGAAGGAAGACTCCCTCCTCCCAGCTCCCTCATCTGCCCCCTTCCCAACGCCGCCCGCGCCCGCGCCCTCCTCCACCCGAAGGCGAAAACCAGGCGCCTGCGCGGGGCGAACTCCTGCACCACGGCCACTGCGGTGCCTCTCGGGGGGGGGGGGGGGCGCCCCGCGGGCGAGGGACGACGTGGGGGGAGGGACGACGCTGGGACGTCCTCGTCGTCGTCGTCCTCCTGCTCCTCCTCCTGCTGCTCCTCCTTTCTCTCTCCTGCTCCTTCTCCTTACTGCTCCTCCTGCTCCTCCTCCTCCTCCTCCTTCTCCTCCTTCTCCTCCTGCTCCTGCTGTCCTCGTTGTCGTCGTCCCCCTCCTTCTCCTCCTGCTCCTCCTGAAGCGCTGCTCAGCCTTGCGTGCGTCCTCCCGCCCAAGCCGGCGAGGGAGTTAGGGCAGCCCCCTCGCGGTGGCGTGATGACGCGGGCTTTGTGCGCCACCCGCCAGGGCAGGGGCAGTGCATGCAATTTTGGAGGTGGCGGGCTCGAGCTTCGAGATGTTCGGACGCTGTCGTCTGTCTGCTCTCGGTGGCTTTCCAGCCCTGGGGTGATCTCCAGCATCAGCGCCTCGCCGAGAGGCGTCCAGGCGTGCCCGGATGGCCCCGAGGGGCCACCTGGGGACCAGGGTCGTGACCCGAACACAGGACGACAAGGATCACAGGGGGAGGTGAGCTGCTTGCCGTCGCTCGGACGTCCACTCCCCGTGCATTTGTCGGTTTCGCGCGTGTCTTTTGCCCGATGATCCAGGATGCTCCTCCAGGGTCCTCGCCGAAGGAAGAATGCACACGTCCGAGCGATGCCAAGGCTACGATCAGACAGTGCCCGGTTGGATACAGGGCATGTTTTAATGCATAGGATTGTTTTGATATACGGGATGTGTAGTACATGATTTATGCATGAATCAATTCATGCATGAACTCAGCGTTGCTTTTAGTACTGCATCCCTGCATTTTCAATGCATGATCCGCACGCGGAGCACGTATTAAAAACGGCACTGTAGGGGGGGGTTGGTGGACGTGCAGTCCTGACTGTCCTCTCGGCATCAGTGGCACAGCGTCGGGATGCTCCTCCAGGGTCCTCCAGGGATGCTCCTCCAGGGTCCTCGCCGAAGGAAGAATGCACACGTCCGAGCGATGCCAAGGCTGCGATCAGACAGTGCCCGGTTGGATGCAGGGCATGTTTTGATACATAGTATTTTCAAAAAAAGATGGGACTTGTCATACGTGATTCATTCATGAATAAATTTATGCATGAACTCATCGTTGCTTTTAGTACTGAATCCCTGCATTTTTAATACATGATCCGCACGCGGAGCGCGTATTAAAAACTGCACTGTGGGGGGGGGGACGTGCAGTCCTGACTGCCCTCTCGGCATCCGGTGGCACGGCGTCGTGGGCAGGCACGGCAGCTGCACAGAAGCGCGCGTGAGCGTCGGCAGGCGGTCCCCGAGAGAGGCCCCCCTATGAGGCCTTCTCGAGGGCCCGGGCACACACTCTGCAAACCACCTCGGCAGTGGCAGCTCTGTCTGTGCATGCCTATTCCTCAAAAAATCCTCCTCCTCCTCCTCCTCCTCCTCCTCCTCCTCCTCCCCTCCTTTGCGTCCTTGCCTCCTCGGTCCATCCTTGGCCGTTCCCGCCTTCAACCGAGTGTACAATGACCTCCAAAAAAATCGAACTGGCCCGCACCCACCGGCCAGAACGTGTCCCAACCGAGCGCAAGCATGAGGTTCGCCTGCCTGCCTGCCTGCCTCCCCCCTGGTCTCGGGGATCCACTGACCTGGGTCAATCCAGACCCCGTTCAGTCAGGTTTTGCAAGATCCTGAGAGATCCTGCAAGATCTTGCAAAATCCTGCGCCTGAACCCGGGTCAGTGCACCCCCTGCCTTGCAGGATGCTGCAAGATCCGGCGCTGACCCCCGTTTGCGCTGACCGCCGTCTCCTGCGCCAAGATGGTCGCGGAGGATTTGCTGGCTGGTTTCCCTGAAAAGCGGGGCCCGCCGCATCTCCCACGAAAAAGGGGGCCCAACATCAGCCGAGCCCTCACGCCCGCCCCTCGCCGCGGCCTATGGCTGCGCAGTTCCCCCCCGAGCGCGGCGTCGCCAGAGCGGGTGCCCCGTCCCCGGGAGGAGCACGGAGCGGGCGCGGCCGCAAGAGACCCGCGCACGAAGCCCAGCCCAGCCCAGCCCTCGAAGAAACCCTGAACGCAGCAGCGTCTTCAACGGCTGCGGGAAGCCACCGCGCAGCGCGCGGAGCGGAGAAACCCAGGATGCCCTGACGAAGAGCACACGGCTTCTTGAGGCGCGCTCACACTGCAATGGGGAACGTTAGGGGGGGGGGAGTGGCATCGGCGAGCACACATCGAAGTGGCATCGGCGATCACACATCGACGAGAGGATGGCAGAAGGAGGAGGAGGAGGAGGAAGAGGAAGAGGAGGAGGGGGGGGAGCAGGGGGAGGAGGAGGAGGAGGAGGAGGAGGAGGAGGAGGAGGACCAGTGTAAACCCAGGAGTCATCAACGATGTTGGAATGAACCCGCCCTCCAAGCTCCCTCTTCATAGGCCGCTGCAACTTTTCATTTCCAGTGAGAGAACTGCCTCGTTCGAAAACAACTGTTTGAAGACCCTGAAACATGCCAAAACATTGTTCTCGGAATTTCAACGCCACGGATGAACTTGACTGTTGCGTCTTGACGGCCCTGCATTGTGCCAAAACGCAATTCTTGGGACTTTAAAACAGAGGATCAACGTAACTGTTGCATTCGCATGATCCTGACTCCTTTCAAAACACTATGTTTGGTACGCTGATGATGGGAATCCGTGAAGCCCTTGCAACTGTTCAAAACCGGCGTATCGCCTCGTTGCCTTGTCGCTGCGACTGCGACGGCTTGCGGCTACTGCGATGGCACTACCTGTGTCGACATGGGCGCTGGTTCTCACGCCACCCACGAAGACTATGATCAACAACCACCAGCAATTAGCACGACGGGCGGTCTCCCTCACGACGTGGAGAGGGCGGCCCCAGAACTACTCCGCATGCTTCTCATGGGGCATCAGGGCGACATACGGTACCACCTGTGCTGGCGATCCCTGCATGCAACTACTCCGATGCCGGTTGTGCAGGCAGGTCCAACATGCCCTCGCATTCTGGGTGCGCGCTGTCACGAGTGCGCAAACGAAGGGACCGATCATGGCTTACAGAGCTCACCTGGCTTCCATTAGTGCGCAGCAGGACGACAACTGGGAGTGGAGGGGACCTCAGGGAAGCCTCCGGCTCACCGACAGGACGGGCAAGCAGCTACCCGAGCTTCGCCTGATCCTCCGATCTACCGAATGGTCCGTGCTACATAACAGGACTCGCCAGGCGAGCCCACTGGCGGCGGGCGTTCCTTTCCCGACCGCTGCACTGCGGACCGTCCAAGAGGCACTACGTACCACTCCTGACTTGGCTTCACACATGACCGCGGTGCTGTGTGGGTGTGCTATGTCAGACGCCCTCCTGCAGTCCCACACAACAGGGGAAACTTCGAATACTTGCAACCATTGCGGCGGGCCATACGTGCCCACGCTCGAGCACCACTACTGGGAACGTTCTGCCAATGACGACCTACGCCGGGGCGTCCGTGTGCCGACTGCTGGCCTTACACGCCGGCTGCGCTGGCCCACAACGGAGGTAACCAGGAAGGATGCAATTACGACGTGGCTGCCAATGGTGCACGCCATGGCCAGGATACGGCAACGGGTGCTACACGCTCGTTTTGCCACGACGCATGAATGGGGGGCCGCGTGCGAAGGAACACGGCCCTACAACCCGGGAGGGAAAATCCTTGACCACAACGGGGATCACACCAATAAACGGGACCACAACCGTCGGGACACACATTCTTGACGTGATTTTGGAATTGCATGTGTTGCGGTGCAGTACTCCTGTTCTGCCGAGAGGGACCGCTCCCTAAAAACGGTCGCCGAGGTTATCCCTCGAGGCCATCAACAACGGCTACCGGCTCTACCCCCTGCAACTGCTCAAAAAGAATGAACACGCACTAAGGCGAGAACCACACGTTGAAAAAGAACCGCCCTCAATCCGTGAAGCTCTTGCACATATGCATGACAAATGTGCGATGCGCTAAGGCGAGAACGACATCTTGACAACGAACCGCCCTCAACCCGTGAAACGCTTGCAACTGTTAAAAAAGGATGTGCGCCGCGCTGAGGCGAGAACCACATTGAAAAGACGGCCCACCCTCGATACGTAAAGCTTTTGCAAGTGTCTAAAAAGAATATGCGCCGCGTTAAGGCGAGAGCCACAGTTTGAAATCCACCCGCCCTCCATGTGTGAGACTGTTGCCACTGTTCAAGCTTCAATGCTATGAGTGGTGAAGAATTCTCAAGCGAAACGCGCGGGCAGCCCTAAAAACTAGCCTCGGGGTGCAACCGGGAGAAGCTGACTATGATGAAAAGGCATGAATGAGGAGGAGGAGGAGGAGGAGGAGGAGGAGG